TATAACATTTTTATTAATATATATTAATATATTTTAAACAATATATATCGATTATATGCTATATATTGATTCATATCTGTATATAAATTTTGCTGATGAGCTTATTCAAATAGATGATCAGTCTTATCTTAAACTGTCTTAATATTAGGCAGAACAAGCTTATAGTCTAAAAAGCATACACATCTTAGCAAAAAACAACAAATAAAAAAACAAGTTTATTAACAAAAAAAAGTTTTTTAACAAGAAAACTAGTAAAAAAAAAAAAAAAATTTGTAGACCAAAATACAAAAAAATTAGATGAAATAAATAACAAAAACAGATACAACAAAAAATTAAAATTTTATTGATAAACAAAGAACAATCATAATAGAAACAGTATGATTGCTAAATTTAGAAATAGATGAACTAACTGAAACAAAGTTACTAATTTTAGACAAATTAGTAAATAAGATTTAAAAACCTTATTTTTTTTTAAAAAAAAGATACAAAGAACACTATAATTACAAAAATAGAACAAACTAGACATGTGGCAATACAAATTTTGTCAAATTTTAGAACAAAGAATTGTTTAACATGTATTGTAAACAATGAATACAAAGAAGAAACATGTGTTGAACAAATTTAGTCACTATTAAGTATAAAACAATATAAGTTAAACAAAATTAATAAGAGACAGCATGGATTAAATAAATTACAAATTACTGTACCAAAGATTGCTTAATATAAAAGTATAAAAAAAATTTTAACAATTATAAAAAGATCAAAGAAATGCCTTTCTTTAATATTAATTTTTTTTATAGTTTTCAAATAAACTTCTAATAATCTTAACAACAATGAGCTCATTATAGAACCTATTAATATGAGTTATCTTACAAATCTATTACAAAGCTCTTGAATTACAGAACCTTTGTAAACAAATACAATACCTAGATATTATCATCTGTAAAGCCAATAGTACCATTCTTATTCTCAATATGAAAACTTTGTATATATTGTCAACTACTTATAATGATGATCTATTAACAAAAAAAAAATAGATCTGCTTAACAAAACACCAAACCAGATTTCTCTTGTAACAGTACTAATGATTATTATATCAACATAGGAAAATTGCTACAACAAGATCACTGATGCATACCAATTAGTTGTCTGCCTCTCTAATTATAATCAGATATACTGTTTAGCTTATAGTTATTATTTAGAAGCCTTATTAGTAGAAAAACCAGATTATAACAAGTCTATAAAGAGAAGTAGAATTAAGGTCTGAACTAAAACCTATTAATTGTTCAAAGCTATTAGTTATGAATAAATATATCAAACAAAAAAACTAACTCTAAAACATATTAGTAATATGAATGAAGCCAAGTTTAATCAATTGATTAACTTTTGTATATAGTACAAAAATTATAAGAATTTTGTGAAACAAAATTCTTAAGAAGAGAAAAATATTATAAAATAGATTTTAACATAGCATTTTTTATTTTTAATGTTAAAGTCTCTGCTTTTGAAAATCAATGTTTTTATTCAAGTATTTGAACATAAATGCCTCTAAAGGCTTTTATATATAAAAGGTTACAACTAGCTATATATGCACTTCTGGTATCTAATTTAAGTAGTCTGCCTATATATTACTATACAGATTCTGCACTAGGTGCCATATCTGCAAGTCAACTACAGATCTTAACTATTTAAACCCTCTGTATATATAGTTTAACTTATAATTACAAAAACATCTTTTAGGCTATACCTATCTAATGTACTCAATGTTTTCAAGACTCTTAGAACTAATTTATCCTTAACAAAAAACTTACTAGAACCTTTTATGTTTCACATATAGCTAATCTAGTTTTATGCAATATGCTATAGTTACCTAACACTTGCAGTCATAGAGGTTATCTGTTTAACTACTATATTACTCTATTTCTATTTTTATTAGGTTTACTAGAATCCCAGTATCTATCATTATAACATTTTCTTTATTATCTCTTACTAATTACTACTTAGAACCAACAGAATTCTCTGCTTTCAATCCAGATAGCCTGATATGGTATACATATATATTCTTTTTCTTTAGCAATTTTAGTAGCCTAGTTGGTTATATGCTTCTTTATACATCTTGTCATCTAATTTATCTGCCTATTCTTATGAAAGAGTTTTATAAACTTCTATTAGTCTAATTATATTGTTAAAAGTTTATGCTATCTCTTTATTCAGAAATTTTTAAATAGGCTTTTGACTTTTCAGTTTTTTAGTTTACTGTACCTGATGGTCTTATTGTAAGTTTGCATCAAAGTTTTATATGATATCAGTTATTAATATTTCTTTATATACATATAATATTACACTTTATATAGATGTCCTAAGCTCTTATTCAAGATAATATGACTTAAGGTTACAGATATACAAAATCAACTGATTATCACAAGACAGTTTGTTATAACATAGATTAATTTTTAAATTTTATTATAGGTAGGATTTAAACCTTAGATCTGTTACTTGAAAGATAACAACTCAACTACTATATTAGGATTGCTATCCTCTTTAGTATAGCATATTATATAATAATATTAATAGTTATATATATATCTATTATTGTATTTTATATATTATATTTATTATTAGTTATTAGTTAGTTAATAGTTATATTATATAGTAGATAGATAAAAGAATCTTAATTAGTTATTAAAAATGTAATACAACTATATAATACTAAGTAACATTTGTAATATTACTATTGTTTTACAAACTCTAAGTACTTTTATACAAGTTTCATGTATTCTAATACCAAATTACTGTGCCAAATACTATAGCATAAGAATCTTAAGTATCTCTAATACAAACCTTAAGTGTCTTTATATAAACTTCAAATATTTTTACACAAATCCTAAATGCCTTTGTATAGATCTAAATGTTTAAATACAAGCTCCAAGTATTTTAAGTACAGATAACAAATGATATAAATAATATTTTCAGTTGCTTCTACATAGTCATTATTATTTCAAATATAGTATTATTTAATATTGTTTAAACCTTTACTATCTTAAGTACAATAATATCTAATATTATTTAAACCTTTATTATTTAAATACAATATTAAGTAATGTTGCTTGAATTCCTACTATTCTCATTAAATAAAAAGATATATAAAGAATATCTTTCATCCTTTTTTGCTAATTTTAAATTTTTATACTTTGATCTAAACTTTTTTACTTTTATCTCTAACTTATAAAAATAATATTCTTTCTCTAAGATAATTCCTATAAACAAGATTATACTATATATTTATTTAATAAAAGTTAATCTATATACTGTTACTATTTTGAACCATTTGTCTGTTATTATATAATAAAATAAACTACTACACCTCTACTTATATATATTTGTAATAGTCAATCACTGTATTAGATGACTTTATTATTTGGTTATATTGTATCAAGAAGACTGCAACCCTATAACAATATATATTAAAACATGCTTTTTACAATGATATAAAATTTAATAATCAAAATATTAAAAAAAAATATACTTGTATATATTTTAAATTTTCTTATAATAATCACAAATTCTCTATAATGATACAAAATCAACAATTTTGATTGGTTTATATTATATAATTATTATATAACAAAAATAATAACTAATCTTTAAATACATATTTTTTACTAAATATTTTATCAATTTTAATAATTAAAAGATGTAGAGACCTAGTAAAGTAAACAAGTTATCAATTTTCAAATAGTAGGTCTAGTGTTTAAATCTCATAAATAACAAATTTTGGATAATTATACTTGTATTATGATAACTGTATCTCATTGATCAGTTGAATAAAAAAAGAAGATATGTAATCTTAATCACATTATCTCAAATAAGAACTTAGGACATTTATACAAAATGTAATATTATATATATATAGAGAAATGTTAAATAATCAGTATTGTATAAGACTTTAGTGAAAACTTATAATAAGACCATCTGATACATAATACTAAAAAACTGAAACATGAAAATCCACTTAGAAATCTCAAGTAAAGAAGTAATATAAACTTTTGATGATACTACCAGACTATCAGAAGTCTTAGAAAGAATAACTAAGATAGATCAAATAACAATATATATAGAAAAACATATACAAATTAGACTGCTGGAAATCACTAGAGGAAAAAGATTTTAGAATACTATACCAAACCATCTGAATTAATAATCTGAGAAATTTTATAGGTTTAGAATACAAAAAAGATATTAAAAAAGAAAGGTATCAGAATTCTAGTAAACTTTACAAAAATATAATAGTTTAATGATTAATTTTGATTACAAGTAATGATTTAAACCAAAACAATACCAGGTCAATTGTAAGTATGAAATACAGAAGATTTTGGTAGACTTAATATAAAGTTAAACATAACTTGATGATCATAATATATTTACAAATTAATACTGCAATTGATAAGATAAGAATAAATATGAGAACTAGAATGTTTAAATAAAAAACCTACAAGCAGATTTTAGATATAACAACTAGTGTAGAACCTTCAGGTGAACTACTTAAAATAGACAATGACTAAAGTTGTACGAGTAACTAATTGTACACTCTTTTCATGATTGCTTCTGTAACTGTTGTACACAATAGTTATATGCTAACGTATTATCAATAAACTCCTGGGTTGCAATTACTCGCCTTAACATTAAAAAATATTACCAATTTTAATAATTTTACCATTATTAGAATCAGAAAAACCCATTCTACAAACTTTACTTATGAATCTAAAATAATTAACAATAAAATTTTTTAAAATATTAAAAAATAAAAAAAATTTACCATCAAGGTCATATGAAAAATGATCTCTATATTTCCTTGTTAATCTACGTAGAGAATGAGATATCTAGGAATTTCTATTTTTGTATGTTACACTGAAACATTGTTAAATGTGAAAATGTTGATATCGATGTAAGAACTAATTTATTTAAATTTTTAAATCGTCGAATATAAGTTTTATGGCACGATGATAACACGACTTCTAAAGAAAGTAATAATCTTTGATGCGTTCCCGAAAGTAGACTCCGGATATCAACATAAAAGTCCACAAGGCGGATTTGTGACCATTATTATATCAATACTTTTATCGTTTTTAATAATTAGTGAATTTCGAGAATATTGGGGCTCAAATCAAAAATATGAGTTCTTGGTAGATAGAAGCATAAGTTATAAAATGCAAATTAATGTTGATATTACTGTGAATACGCCGTGCATATGTGAGTAATATCTGTATATAAAAAAGTTGATTTTTTTTTCAACAGATATTTACAAAAAAGTAAACAATGTTGCTAGATTTAACAGTTGACCTACTTGACGCAGCCGGTGAAAGTATACACTTTACAGATGAACTAAAAGTATTTCCGGTAGTAGGCATTTTTTATTTGTTCCTTGTACAATACCTGAAATTGATTTTTAGTCTAACATTAATTTAGGCAATATTCGAAGTCAGAGAAGCGCATCATTTAGGGTAACCTATGAAAGTCTGTTACAAGTGTGGTTTATCAAGATACGAACGATCTAATTCGCATTTTTTTTTAACAAATCATATTTAGCTATCAACTAGAAAATGAAGTAGCATTAGATTTAAAGAAGATGATGTTTGATGCTGCCGCAAAAGTCGCTGATACATTTAATCCAAATTCTGATGTCATCGGTACGTCATCATCACTTACAATATAACTTTACAATGAAACTTTAAATTCATTATCAAACTCATGTAATGTTGAATTAATTATAGATAATCAAAAGAGTGCATGTAGGGTTTTTGGGGCTTTGGAAGTTAATAAAGTCACAGGAAATTTGCATATTACAGCAGTTGGTCATGGATATAGTGGAAATGGTAGACCTGTTGCTGAAAATAATTGTATGCATTTCTTCAAAGTGACATTTTGTTAATGTCAAAACAAACAATAATTATTTTTTATTTATTATTCATTAAAGTATTGAACTTTACACATCGAATTGATGAATTTTCATTTGGAACACTGTATCCACAACTTATAAACCCATTGGATAACAGTATTGAGATAGCTGAAGCACGTGTGTTTTAATTTTATTATTATATCACAATCTTTAGTCTTATTAAATGCAATTGAACTAATAATTGTCTTTTTGATGCATAAAGATGTTGAGGCTTTTCAGTATTTCTTATCAGTTGTAAGTTAATTATTCACCATTCAAAAAAAAATTTTTTTTTTGAAAACTCATGATTGTCTATTAACAAAATGTATTGCACGTTATTTATAGGTCCCAACAACGTATATAGACAGTTTCAATAGAGTTTTGTTAACAAATCAATATGCAGTTACAGACTACACCAGAATAATTGATGAAACAAAACAGCCTGGTGTACCAGGTATGCTTATATATTGAATAACCTCGTTATGCCATAACATTTTAGTAACCTGTATATATATATGCAAAAGGGATCTTTTTTAAATATGACATGGAACCAATTTCAGTTCGTATAACTGAAAAGTCTACGACATTCGCAAAATTCTTGACACGTCTTTGTGGATTGGTTGGTGGTGTTTGGGTAACAGCTGGATTTGTTTTAAGGTTTGCAACTTGGATTTGGATCTTATTGGATCGAAATATCGGCAATGGGATCAATCCGACACGTAGATCGAATAGTGCGGATAGTAATGTGAATGGTGCAATATATAATGGTGGCGTTCGGTATAATTATATTGATAGTGGAATGCATAGGGGTGTTAATATCAGTTTACAAAAAGTTTCTAATGATTAGAGTATTTCATTATCCATTTAGATAAATGGATTATAAGTTGCTTTTATTTAGAGATGCAATAAAGCATTAATTGATTGTTTAATCGGTAAACTAATATTCAAGTGACCGTATAAGTAGTTCAAAGCTTTAATGCATCTTTTTGTTTGTTTTTATGTAACTGGTGTTATGTATGTAATATACATTACCCAGATAAAAGTATATCTTAATTAATTAATCAAAATTTACCAAATAAAAACAGGCTTAAATTTATTATAGGTAGGGTTTCAATATTCAATCCCAAGTTGGGGTAAAATTCTGTTACACATAATATATCCTCAGTACTTTAGTATTTTTTTGTATAATGTTCTTAAAATATCAATCTAAATAGCTTGAAAGGGTTATAACTTGCTTTTGGTATACATATACTGCCATGTATTTTTTTCTTCTAATTTGAAGTTTAGTAACCTAATTAGTGAATTTGTTTTTACAAACTATATTTCATTTAGTTTTTTTTTTTTTACACTTTGGCAGTCTTGCCAATATCCTTTATTAAGAGAATTGCATAACTAACTATACAAATATTAGTTTAATTTATAGGTTTGACATTTTCTAACTACTGTAAAAGTGTTTAGAGATGGCTTGCCATACTAGTGCAAGTTGTACGCACTAGAAAAGGGTTATTCAGGCTAGAGGCCTGCATTGGATCCTGCAACCTAGCCCAGCCTGCAAATTTTTGCAGGTTGGATCAGATCTGAAGCAAAATTTTATAATTGCAGGTCAGAACAGTCTTAAAATTTTGTAAAATTATATAAGAAATTTTGCGAATCAGGTTGAAGAAAAATTTAATATATGTGGGTTGGATTGATGAAAAATTTAATATATGCAGGTCAGGTTGGGCTGACAAAAAAATTTTAACTCTAAATGCAGGCTGGATTAGGCCTCAAAAATAGGCAATTTACAGGTTTCTAATTTAGATTAACCTTTAAGACTATTTCAGTAAAGTCTCTTATTATTATTAATTAACTTTCTAATTGCTTTTTTTTATACATTTTTTATTTTATTTTTTCTAACTTATTTTTTTCTTTTATTCTTATTACTTTCTCATCTCTTGATTTCTGTATTTTTTTGTATAATACTATGTCTTGCTGCTTTTCTATTTTTTTTTTTTTTTTTATTTGTATTGATATCTTGGTTTTTTTCCTATTTATCTACTTTACAGTATCTTTTTTTCTAAACTGTTTTATAGAATTTATTCTATATAGCACTTGTAGTACTTCTTTAAATATCTTCTTTTAAATGAAATTTTTAATGAACTTTTTTATTATTTTTATTTTCTTTTTGTTTGTTTGGTTTTAAATTTTCTTTTTTAGAATAGACTTGGTAGTGACTTTCTTTATATTTTTCAGTAGTAGGTTCTATTTTACTTCTATTGCTACTACTTCTGCTTTTGTTCATAAAACTTTATAAGCTAAATACTCTACTAAATGATCTAGGTCTTCTTCATTTTTTCTTTATATAATATACAATTTGAAATAATATATAGATCTGATCATCATATAGTTAGTTCTTTAAGTATAGGCATTTTTTCTTAAATATATTTGAAAAGTATATTTAGTTTTTTGCTTTCTTGAATTAGATACATCTTATTCTATTCTGGTTTTTGATTTTTTTTTATAGCAGAGTTTAACAGTATTTATTAGTATTAGATTTTAATTTTAATTTTCTAATTACTAATAAGTAATTTTAATCTAAATTGTTCTTAATATTAAGTATCTTTTTAACAAATTCTCTTGTTGAACTTTTTATAATTCTATTTTTTTTAACAAAATAATATATTTGATCTTAAGACAGGACTATTTATAATATTTTTTAGATCTTTTAATTTTATTTTCTGTTTAGCTAAACTATTTGCTTTATTATTTCATCTATTATTGCTATAATCTTTAACTTTAACTAATTCTAAATTTATTTATTTTGTTCTTACTACTTCTTTAATATTATCTAGTAAGTTGAAATTTTTTCTTTTTATTTTTTGTTTATTCATTATATATTGAGCACTATTTTTTAAATTTCCATAACTGTTATACTGTTTATATATTTTTTAATTTTTTTTTTACTTGGCACTATGAGTATTATATACTATATAATCAGTAACTTAGTTTTGGTTAAAAAAGACTATTCTCTGGTTCTGATAAATTCTTTATTAATAATATATTCTTTTTTATTATCTACTTGTAGCCAACTAGTTACTATGCTAACTATTTCTTATTTATTTATGTTCTCTTTTATTAATAATTCATCTGTATAGAAGATTAAATTTTCTTACTTGATTTTTTAATTATGTGTATTTTTTATAATTAGTATTTCAATAAGCTTGTTGCTAATTTTTGTTTCTTTATTAGCTCTATTTTATTATTTTCTATTCTGATTTTTTTTACTTATCTTTCTGAACTTAAGATTTAAATTTTTCTTTGTTAAATATTAAGGTTCAACATATTTAAACTTATTTTTAATTGCTATTATTTTTTTTCCTAATGTATTTTAAAATAGAATCCTAAATCTTCTATTTCTTAGTTTTTTTATATAACTATTAACAGTATTTACCTAGTTAAGTACACAATCTTTGCATTTTTCTAATAATGTTTTTTGGTTTTCTGGTTGTCTTTCTACTTTTCAATGTTCTATTTATATTGTATTTTGGTTTCTAGTAACTATTTTTTCTAATATTTGGGAGTGAGTCAATAGAAATTAAGCAAATTGTTTTTATTAAAATTTTTTTGAAACTTTAAACAACAATAATTCAATAAAAAACTTAATCAAATTTAATAAAAAATTTTTTAAATGAATTCTACAAATTTGTAGCATTTATTTTAAAAAAGTTTTATAAAATTTGATAAAGTTTTAGTTAAGCTATCTTTGCTTAAAGTTTCAAAAAAATTTACTTAGAAAAAATTTGCTTGATTTCTATTGACTCAACCCCATTTGTTTTTTTATTTAAGCTAATAAATTTTTAATAATTATTTATTAGTTTTTCTAACAAGGCTTCTATTTTCTATTTATTTAGTATTATAATTCTAAAGTTTGGTTTTATTACTCTGTGTTTTGAATTCTCTAATATTTCTGTTTCTAGTCTTTGAAACTTTTTAGCTGATCTTCTTTTAGCATTACTTATTTTTAATAAGCTTAGTTGCTATCATGTAATTATTTTACTTTTTTTTATTATTATTTTTTTTTTTTTTTTAAATATTAAGGTGATTTTTTTTTATTATCAATTAGCTGATATACTAGAGCTATATTGAGTTTTTTTAGTATATGTGTAAATAATAAAATAAAACTTGTTTTTAGCATTTTATATATTTTTATATTATAGTTGTCATAAACTAAGCTTTTATAATTAAAGTTTAAAACTATTTATAGTTCTTTTGTTCTAAGCATTATTAGACATGCTAAATTGTTTATTTACAGTTTATTGCTTGCTTTTGAAATGTTATTATATTATATATTTTTTAATGTTTTTATTAATAAAAGCCTATCTTTTATTCTTGTATTTGTTAATATCTTTACAGAATCTGTTGAGTTTAGTTATTAGTACAAGATAATGATCTGTTTGAATAATAGCTAATCTTGTAATGAGTTAAAATTATACAAATTTTTGTAATACATTATGCTATTTTTTACTAATCTTATTACTATTTTTTTTTATTATTCCTATCACTGGCATATATATATTGTCTATTTTGTTTTTTAATAATCTTGTAGTCTATAATATATAACTTAATTTTGATATAACATACATGTTATTAATATATAATAGTTGGCTAATTGTTAGCTTTTTTGGATTCAGTCCTTATATAAATATTCTTACAATTTTTTAACTATTGCTTTAATTACTAATTCTTTTAATTTGCAGATTAGCTATATTTCCAAAAATCATATTATCTTATTTTTATTTTTTTCTTAAATCTATTTTTTGCCAAAAAAGATCATTTATTCTTTTTGGCTTATTTAGTATTTATCATAATGAATTTAGATTTTTTTTATTAATTTGTATATCATTTAGTTTAAAAAAATCTTCTGCTATTATAATAATTTTTTTTATCTGAAATTTATTTAATGTAATTTATATTGTATCATTAGTAAAAGCTATTATGACCTGCTTTTACTTTTTTCTTTTTTGCAAATTTAATCTTTTATTGTTATTGTCTTAAGTATTTATTTTATAACCTAAACTTGAATCATCTTGAACTCTTTTCAAAAGTAGGTCATAAAAGATTCTCTATACTAAAGATGAGATTATTTTTTCTTATTCAATTCCATTATTGATTTCAAATTCTGTTATTGTATCTACATTTATAATAATTTTGACTATCTGTTTTTATATAAATTTAGAATGAAAGCAATTGTTATTTTTGATATCTTAAGTTTTTTAAGCACTAAATTTAATATTGTTAATATTATCAAGTTAAAGGCCTTTTTTATATTTTGCAGTACTAATCAAAGCTCTTTTTTGTTATTTTTTGCATCTTTTATTATTGTGTTTATAATATTTATTAGCTCTTCTGTTGAACCTTCTAGCAGATCTGCAAAATTTAAATCTTTTAAAATATTTTTTTGACAGATAATCTGTACTAATTTTTTAGTAAATACTTTAGTTATATATTTATACATGATCTTTAGTAATGCTATTAGTTTTATATTGCTTAAATTGTATTGCCAATCTAGGTCTTTTGATATTAGGTATATTTGTGATATTTTTCATTTTCTTAGTATCTTTTTTGTCTAAATGCATATTTCTGATAACCTTCTAAAGATTTTTTGTGTCTAACTACTTGTTGTTTTAATTAGTATATAGATAATTTTTAAAGCACCAAATGCTGTATTGCTTTTCAAACTTGATAACATTTCTAATCACTTTTCTATTAAGATATCCTGTTCTAGCTAATTATACCAATCATCATTAATTTCTTCTTTAGATTGGTAAATTTTTTTCTAGTTTTCTTTAATCTTTTGACTTTGAAAATTTTAAGTCTGAAATTATTATTGAAAATATTCTTTAGTTTTTTTTAGTATTTTACTTGAATTTATTATAAGCATTTTAGTTAGATTTTTTGAGTTGATAAGTCTGTCTATTTTGATTTTTTTGAATGGTTTGTTCAATATACTTGTTAACATTATCTCTTGCTTGTTATTGATTATTTGATACCTCTTTTCAATATTTTGTTTAATTTTTTTTGTTCTTTGTCTTTCTAATTTTTTTATTTTTCTTTTATATAGAATATTATACCAACTTTTTAGATCAGTTATTATCTTTTCTGTTCATGTTTTTAAGATTTTTTCTATATTGGTTTTGTGATGCTGATTTATATATTCAATTGTATCATTGAATATTTCTATATTTTCTAATACTAAATCTAATTTGATATTTTTCTTTTTTAAACTAATTCATCTTTTTAGTTATGATAATGACTTCATTAACTTTGATTTTTTTTTTTTATTATTTCTTTTATTGGTAGAAATATTCAGCATCTTCTTTTTAAAAAATATTTTTCTTACTACTTCAAAGATACTTTTGCTTATATCTTTTCATATTTTATTTAGATTTTTTTTTGTTTTTTTTTATATCTGTGATGGTTTTTTTTGTTTTTTTTTTATATCTGTGATAGTTTTTTTTGTTTTTTTTTATAAGTTTTTGTTTTTATTTATATTGTCTAACTTTTTTTTATAATCTTCTTAATCATTTTTAGATGCCTTCTCATATAAGAGAACTGGTTAATATTGTTCAAATTTTTTGAGCTTTGAAGTTTTGTGCAATGCTACTAAGTGATTTAATTTTATTCTTGTAATTATTACATTATAATCACTATTTATATAATTAGACATGTCTTGAATTTCTGCATTAATTAGACTATTTGCTAGTTTTTCAACTATCTAAACTTGGTTAATTCTTATATTCAATTTATCATTTGTCTATAAGTATTCCTTGTTTCTTGGATTTTCTAATCTAAAAAAGTCTTTAAATTCTTATTTAGTTTTTTTTATTTAAGTATTTATTTTTTAAATTTAGTTTTTATATTAGTATTATTAAATATTTATATTATTTTTTTGTCAAGTAAGCTTTTATTATTTTAGTTTTATAGTTCAATCAAGTAACTTATTTTGTTTGTATTACTTTAGTATTAGTTTTTATTATTTTTAAAATGATCTTTTGAATTTTTTAATTTTTATTAATATTTTTGGTAATGTGTTCTGTATGAAACTACTACAGAAAGAGTATACAATTGTTATGCATATAACTTTTTTATATTATCTATTTAAAAAGTTTATCTAAAGGTTTTTTGCCAATTGTTATATTTAATATCCTTGCTTGGGAGTTCTATTTTAAATCTTCTAAACTTGTAACCTATGTTAATTTTATTAGATTATGCTCAGATCTTTATTTCAGTTTTAGGATTATTTTATTCTTGAGATAAACCTCTTAGAGCCTTCTATATACTTATTTTATAGCTGATTTGATATTATTATAATTAAACCAACACTTGCAATTAAAGTTAGTTATTAAACTATTTGCTTTTACAAAGTTACTCAAATCTTAATACTACTTTATAGCATATTTAAATTACTTTAGTATATATTGTTTTTGTTTTTAAACTTCTAATTTAAATAACTTAATAAGATTATAATCAGTTTATTAGTATATTAAATCAGCTTGATATACTTTTTCTTTGGTCTAATTTTGATAGTCTGGTTGGTAATATCTCTTATTTAAGATTTTTTGCTTATTTAGTTCTTTTGTATTGGTATCTGTTTTCTAAGATTAGTCTTTATAATAATATTATTAAAAATCTATTATTATAGCAAGAAGGCCTTCTTAACTTTTTATTATAACAATAACACAGCTATAGGGATCCTTTATAGGTTTATAATAATATCCAAGAGAGAAGTATAGTTTCTTTAACTATGTAAAAATTATACTCTTTTCTGAACAGTTCAGTTAGAACAATACAGTAGTTTATAACTTTATTAACACAAGAGTGATAGACCTTGTCTATAGGAATTAACTTAGAAGAGAAATATTAATATAGTTTATAAATAAAGATAATAATTTTATTAAAAAAATAAGGCTATCTATTAGGTTTCTGTTTTTAAGAAATCCTTTTATACTTTACAGAAATTACTAAACAAAAAGATAAAAGAGAAGGAATGTCTATGACTTGCTTGACTTTGAAAAAATATTTGGGGTTTATATATCCATTAATAATTATTAAAGTTAAATATCAAAACTATAATAATTATTAGAGTGAAGCATCAAGCATCAGATGTTAAGTGTTAAATATCAAGCATCAAGCATTAAGCATTAAGCATAATATATCAAGTGTTAAGTGCTGTAATACAATTAATCTATTCTATCTACTAATATATGAATAATAATAATAATACTAATAATAATTATAACTAATACTAATAATAATAAAATATACATTTAAAAAACTAAGTTAAAATATAATATTAAAAATTTGTTTTATAATATTTTTGTTTTTTTAAACAATTTGCTTTGTAAATTTATCTTATAAGTCTCTAATCAAAGAAGTAAAAGCTTTGTCTGTAAGCCTTACAACTTGAGTAACAGCCAAGTATTTGTCTGATAAATTATAGCTTTTGGGTATAGAATAAAAATTTTGTAAATATGAAGAGCTTCTTTTCAAATGTCTTGTGCTTTGCAAGCATTATTGATTTTCTATATTTATTCTTTAATCTGAACTTGGTTAGCTTGATTTTCTTTGATAAAAGTTCCCAAATAGTAGTAAGCTTTAAGAGTTTTGATTTGGTTTTCTCTTAACTTAACATGAATAGGAAGTTTTTCTAAAATATTATTAAGTTTTTTCTTCCAAATTGTATTTTTAAAAAATAAGATTTAAGAAGCTTTCTGGAACTCAAGAGTTTGTATAAGAACTTTCTTTATTTTTACAAGAGGATTTTGTTCATTTGATTTTATTTCAAGAGTAGAAGTTAAATTATTAGTTAGTTTATCCAAACTTCTAATAAATTAATCAATTTTATTTAAAGCTGTTTCTTTTAGTTATAGAATAATATTAATAATTTGGTCTAATGTTTGATCATTTTACAATATTACATTTTAAAAAAAAAATTTCTAAATTGTATTAAGTAGCAGAATTTTGCCTTCAAATAATAATAAAATTTTGAAAAGTCTAAATAGTGTTAGATTGCAAAATAATAAGATTTATTTTAAATATACAAATAGTTAATTTAGAAAAATTTGTACAATTTGTTTGTTTATATATATATTTTAAGGTAATATGAGATTTTTAAAATATTTTTAAAATGGCTTTTTAAGCAATATTACTAATGACAGATGCAAAATAGGTATTGGTTAAATTCAAATCCAAGATGAAACTATATTGCATTAATATTCAGCAAAAATTAAACTTTGGTCCTCAACATACAAAGCAAAACTTATAACAATTCTTTCTGCTATTAGCATATACCCAAAACAGAATACTATTACTATTTATACTAACTCACAATCAATAATTTCCAAATACAATAAGCTTACACAGTCACCATCTATACCTAACAAAATATACTCTTTTAACTATTGGCCAATATGGCACATACTTCTAAACTTTATTACTGCATACCAAATTCAAATTAATTTCCAAAAAGTAACTACACATAGTAGTAATACACTAAATGACATAGCTGACAAACTAGCTAAAAACCAAAACTAACTACACATACTCAGTCTTCTTTATATCAATATATACAATCCATCATTTTACTTCTATCATGACAAATATGTCATAAAACAACCTACATACAGAACTATTAAAAACATTAGTAATGCCTACAACATAGCAATGTGGTCCTTTTAATATCAGATAAAAAACATTCTTCCTCTATTCTTGCAAATCAACTGAAATGCTACCTGGTTTTTTCTTAACAACAATTACAAAAGATCTATATCTTATACTAGTTTTACTTTATAATAAGAAAAAATATTCAAAATCAAACTAATGCTAGGAATACTACCTACATTATCTTACCTGCATTCTCATTATCCAACAATATATTCTAAACTTAATTGCATTTTATGCAATACATATGACAGTCAGCTACATTGGCTAACCTGCCCAAACTTACTTATACTTAACTATTACTAATATGATACAACAATTTTTTAATTATTTATGACTAGATATAACAACTATATAACTACAAAAACTATACAATAAACTTACCAATCATCTATGTTTCTTACCAAACAATCTCATTAGAAATCACACAAATATATACACAACAATACAAGGCTTTGTTCTATTCTTACTAATTAATACT